TACTCGCACATGTGCAGTGGGTACCCCGGTTGTGAAGCCGCAAGCTGTCACAGCCGGGTGCCCACACTGAAGATGCCGGCCTCCTAGAATACAGAACGGCCGGTGAAACGGGCTGCGGGGGACACACCACAGGACCGAGGGACAGGTAAGTGGCTGTTTTTTAAAAGTCAACAGCTACAGTTTTTGTAGGTGAGTGGAACTCCGCTTTAAGCACTTAGTAAGGTTTTTACTGCAGAAGAGACATGCACATCTCTTCTTCATTAAATTGCCCCTACCTGCCTGCTCACTGTCTTTTCCGGCTCTGTAAACTCAGAGCTGGGCTGGTCTTTGAGATGAATAGCTTCTGCGCATGCACAGGAATTACATCATCTCATGCCAGCCAATAAAGAGGCCCAAAGACCAGCACTCCTAAGAAGATGCCAATGCCTTAAAGGGACTGTTGGACAGGGGAGTATTATTGTTTTAGTTCCGCTTTAACTGACATTTGAAGATGGAAGCTCATTACATTGATCTGCAGATAAATGAAACAGAGTAGACACAAAGGTAACATTGTAAAATGCTATATTACCTCTAAAGAATGTTTATAAACAGCGCATGGTTTTACAGAAACTTTATATACACAGCAACTCCCAGCTGTCATTTTAACTGTTGGAAATGGAGGACAAGTCAAGGGGCACGAAGGGCAGAAGGATAGGGTGTGCTACACATGTTCTGTGTACTTCCATGAAGTTCATTAAATGTGTGTGCAACATCCAGTGTCTCCAAGTGTCAAGGTCCTACCTTTCCTCAGACCTTGTGCTGCTCCATGTGCTGGCATCCATCTTAGGTGTCTGCAAAGCATTGTGGGATCCTTTATGCTTTCATCTCTCTGCGGCTCCTCCCCCAGGAGGTGGCGGCTTATCACATATAAGTCTGCTGTTTGTGGCTGTCCATTGCATTCGTGTCCTGTCTGTTGCACAACAGCAAGCTCCTGTTTAGCTACTCATTGCTTTCCTGGATACCGAATTGGCTTTGGCTAAGACTCCTCCTGGCTTCTGACCCCGGCTCTGGTGACGATTCTTCCTGGCTCTGGTGACGATTCTTCCTGGCTCTGGTGACGATTCTTCCTGGCTCCTGACCCTGGCTCTGGCGACGATTCTTTCTGGCTCTGGCGACGATTCTTCCTGGCTCTTGACCCCGGCTTTGGCTACGATTTCCACTGTTGGACTTGCTCCTGATCCCGGCTCTGGCGACGATTCTTCCTGGCTCCTGATCCCGGCTCTGGTGACCGATTCTTCCTGGCTCTTGACCCCGGCTTTGGCTACGATTTCCGCTGTTGGACTTGCATAGACTCTTTTGTACAACAGCAAGCTCCTGTTTAGCTACTCATTACTTTCCTGGATACCGAATTGGCTTTGGCTAAGACTCCTCCTGGCTTCTGACCCCGGCTTTGGCGATGATTCTTCCTGGCTCCTGATCCCGACTCTGGCGACGATTCTTCTTGGCTCCTGATCCCGGCTCTGGCAACGATTCTTCTTGGCTCCTGATCCCGGCTCTGGCAACGATTCTTCTTGGCTCCTGATCCCGGCTCTGGCAACGATTCTTCCTGGCTCCTGATCCCGGCTCTGGCGACGATTCTTCCTGGCTCCTGATCCCGGCTCTGGCGACGATTCTTCCTGGCTCCTGATCCCGGCTCTGGCGACGATTCTTCCTGGCTCCTGATCCCGGCTCTGGCTATGATTTCCGCTGTTGGACTTGCATAGACTCTTTTGTACAACAGCAAGCTCCTGTTTAGCTACTCATTACTTTCCTGGATACCGAATTGGCTTTGGCTAAGACTCCTCCTGGCTCCTGACCCCGGCTTTGGCGACGATTCTTCCTGGCTCCTGATCCCGGCTCTGGCGACGATTCTTCCTGGCTCCTGATCCCGGCTCTGACGACGATTCTTCCTGGCTCCTGATCCCGGCTTTGGCTACGATTTCCGCTGTTGGACTTGCATAGACTCTTTTGTACAACAGCAAGCTCCTGTTTAGCTACTCATTACTTTCCTGGATACCGAATTGGCTTTGGCTAAGACTCCTCCTGGCTCCTGACCCCGGCTTTGGCGACGATTCTTCCTGGCTCCTGATCCCGGCTCTGGCGACGATTCTTCCTGGCTCCTGATCCCGGCTCTGACGACGATTCTTCCTGGCTCCTGATCCCGGCTTTGGCTACGATTTCTGCTGTTGGACTTGCATAGACTCTTGTCTTATTTTTATATTAATAAACCTACCTTTAATTGCACCTCCTTGTGTGTCTGGCTCCTCGCTCCCTGACACCGAGTGAGTTAAGGAGTCTCTGTTGCTTGGTCCTACATGGGCAAGGTGATGGCGTCTCCAAAGGCTCGTTTACACTTGCTTTGGCATTGGACATCCTTTTTTAAAGCACTCTGCCAATCAAAGCACTTCTCACTAAATACAATTGGTAAGCTTGCAGTCCTGTACACACGCTGCGTTTTGCTTTTCTTCAAAACTTTTACCCCATGTTGCTTTCTTTGTGCTTCAAAGTATCTCCAAAACCTCCATAGAAGTCTATCGCAACACTCACTAACAGCACTCGCATCTTTTGAGGGTTTTTTTTCAGAGTTAGCTTTGCTTTGTTTTCAAGGTATTGCATGTATGAGATAACCCAGGATGCACTGGGAAACCAGCAAGTGAACCAGAAAGAAATCATCAGTGGTCACTTCTGATTAATGTATATATATTTTGAGAGTGTATTTTGCAGATGTCACTGTGACGGTCGCGGCGTCAGACCCCCAGCCCTTCTCACTAACACGTGACCGAAGGACTAGCCAATCTAAAACCGCGCTGTCACATGCATAACAATGCCACGCTCAGCTGCACCCTACACAAAGATTTTCCAGCTAATGGACCACAATCCAAACCTGCAGCCTGAGAGCGATTGTTACTGGGTCAGTTTAATTACGCAATTAACCCTTCACACTGCCACCACCGCCTTTTTGTAGAGAAAAGGAGGAAACTCGCCAATATTAGCAATAACACAATGATGTTTGAATAATCGTCTGTATACACACTGTCACCGCAGGCAGAGGTATATAGAGGTTTTAAAACACACAGTATCGCTCTTCAGAGACAGGGATTCTTAGTTCGCATTAAAGAGCTTTAGAAACAGTTCAACACTTTTCAGATAATAGGATTTATTACTAAAAGGGTGCAATAAAAATATTTACAGAAAAAGATGTAGTGTATGTATGTATATGTGTGTGTATATATATATATATATATATATATATATATATATATATATATATATATATATATATATACACAGAGAGCAATAACAGAAATTTAGAGAGAATGATTGCCATCAGCCTTGGTTTAAGCAGCGTTCAAGTGTCAGAGCAAAAGAGTGCCGTTCTCCCAAGTTGGTTCCTGATGTTAAAAAGGGAGAATTCTTCATCTTCTGCTCCAAGCATAACAGCCTTTTTCTAGGAACCCAGCAGGGTGTCTCCTTTAAAGCAGAGAACCAATCGCCTCATTTGGGGAGGGGTGTTTTAGGCGGGGAACTCAAGCTATGACCAAATCCCTCGCAGTTTATATCATGGTCAATAACCTTCCCTAGTTACATATAGCAGCCTAGCCACTAGTAGATTGATATGCAGAATGATATCCTGAATGTCCAGACATCAAACATGCCATATCTTACTATTTTTCATCTAGAACTATATGGCTTTCTGCTCTCCTGTAGACTTTAACTAGGGGTGTAAAATGTCAGGCGACTCGCATTAAACTGAGCTATCCGAATATATGCTTTGTTTCACTGTAATTATTTCCTATCTTAAGATATGAATTTATATGGAAAAGTGGGTTTTAAATAGGATGTCTTTTTTACTGTTATCTTTGAATGTCTTTCATGTTCAGTGAAGGACTGGTTTATAGCTTTACGATCGCCTCCAAGCAAGAGTCTCACAGACATACTGGGCCCAGGCTAATTGGGGTTTATAACCATGAAGCTATCCCGCTGTGCCTGATGCCTAAGATCTCAGCATACATACAGACCACATTCCTGAGGGAGGGGGATTGGAGGGAGAGAGCATGGTACAAGATGGAGGATCTGTAGCAAGATGGATGACCGTGTCCATCTCTGTACGTACAATTGCTACAGTCACATCTGGAGCAACAGGAAGGTGAACGAGATCCAGACTGAAGCAGAGCAACAAGCAGACCGCACATGTGGTGTGCAACATGGAAACACTATAAAGGTGAACGGGGACCAGAGAGAGAGGACTGAGTGGCAGAGCATCAGCAAAGCAGGCAGACCAGAGCAGGAGAAACTAGCAACGTCACACATGGTGTGCTGCATGAGAGCAATCTAATGGGAGGTGAGGGGGGACCAGAGAGAGAGGAGAATCGGCAAACCAGAGGATCAGTAGAGCTGGGGGATACTACTGAGCGGGGGATCAGCAGACCTGGAGGTTACTACTGAGCAGGGGATCAGCAGAGCTGGGGGTTGCTATCGAATTGGGGATCAGCAGAGCTGAGGGTACTTCTGAGAAGGGCATCTGCTGAAGGAGGGTACTAATAAGCTGGGGATCTGCCTTAACGATGGTACCAATGAGCTGGGGATCTGCTGAAGAAGGGTACTACTGAGTTGGGGTTCTACTGGGCCTCATTAAAACAAATAGAAAATCAACAACAGCAAACTGAAACATCAGGAGATGTTTGTGCCAATGCAACTCTTTATCTGCTTCTGTCTTTGCTCTCTCTCTCCCTCCCTCAATGTGCCAGTCTTCTTCTGTCTTGACTCTGGATCAACTGTTAAGCCTCTGCGCTGTAATCTCGTTAATGCATCACATGGGTCCAGCTTGAATTAAACCAGTTCGGCTTTTTTATAATTAACCTCCCATTACATATCCCCTCCCCCCCCCCCCCCCCCATCATGTCCACAATGGTTGAGTCTAAGCTGAACTTTACAATGGCGGGCTTGTCTTCTCTTTCCCCCTGCAGCATCTTGAGCGACACATCCAAAACCTGCAGAACGAGATGCTGGAATTACAGCAAAGACTGTCCGTCTCAATGACCGCTGACCGCAGAAAGGACGCCATGATCCAGCAACTGGACCAGGTGATACTTTCTCCCTAATCACATCAAGCCTTATGTACTAATCAACAGCTCAAGGGAAGTGAATAAAGCATCCGTCATCTCACCTATTTTTTTTTTTTTTTTTTCAAAAGCCGTGACATTTTTCAGCTCAAATTAGCAAAGCTTTAGTCTTAATATGTATTGTGTTATCACATGCCAGCTGAAGTTTGATATCAGGCTTGAAGTGCGCAGGCACAAATTGTTACGGGTATAAGGGACTTTGCTGCATGTTTGTGCTAGTTATATTTGTAATAATACATATATACATTTTATTTTTTAAAACAACAGGAATGGTTAGATTGGTCAGGGTTTTTTGCTTAGTGTGTTTTCTTGTGTCTGTGACCCCCCCCCCCCTTTCCCCCACTTCTTATCGAGTTGTCACTAAAGCCAGTTATAGACAATGGGTACAACCAGCTTGCTGGATTTTACATGCGATTAGCAGGAGGGATTCCCTTATCAACACTTACTGTGTTGATGGGGAAATTGAGCGATTTTCTTTCCTGCAGCTTGTGGAGTCAGAGACGGCAATAAAAACCTGTCAGAGGTTCTAACTCTTCCTCGCTGGCTGCACTTTGGCTTAAACCCCCTTCCTGCCTGCAGTTCCTTTATAAGCAATGCCTAGAGTAATGTCATTCTGTGGATTTATCAGTAAGCATCCTCCCTTTTGAGAACCAGAAGTCAACACGTTGCATGGCTGATGGCTCTCAAGCCCATCTGTCACTGACAGCTCTTGTCCATACAGACAATCGGGAACCAATCACAGTGGTTCCCAATCATGTGGTCACAGCTTCAGCTAAGGCAGGGGTGGGAAAACTTTTTGACTTGAGGGCCGCAATGGGTTCATATATTGGACCCGGGGGCCGGACCAAGAGTAGATGAATGATGTGTATGTGTCATCCATAGTAAGTATAGTAATATTCCCTCATAGTAAGCATAGTAATTAATCCCCCATATAGTAATTCATCCCCCCCATATAGTAATTAATCCCCCATATAGTAATTCAATTCATCCCCCATAGTAATTCATCCCCCATAGTAATTCATCCCCCATATAGTAATTAATCCCCCATATAGTAATTCATCCCCCATATTACTTCATCCCCAATATAGTAATTCATCCCCCCATATTCATCCCTCATATAGTATTTCATCCCCATAGTACTATTTCCCCCCCAAGTAGTAAGCCAAGTCCCCCCTGTGTCAATTCACTTACCTTTGCTCCGCGCATTCCTCTCGCCGTGTTCCCGCGCCGTCCCGGTCTTCAGGGCGGACTGTGAGAGGAGCCTAGCTCCCCTCAGGTTAGTCACGCTGCCCCGCCTACACACATCCTGACAGCCAATGTATCACGCTCCGCGGGCCGGATTAAAAGGTCCGCCGGGCCGTATACGGCCCGCAGGCCGTAGTTTGCCCATTGCTGAGCTAAGGCAATAATCGCATACAAATGTGAGGCTTCATTGACAAGGGGATGTAGGTGTACATGGTGCTTATGGGACGTCATTCTAGCCTAGGCAAGAAAGCTGTAAGTGCTGGTCCAAGTGCACAAAAGGTACTTTGAAAAACAAAATTTGGAGTTGGGCTTTAAATTTGACATAGAAGTATATATGCTATAAGTCACAGATCGAAAACATGAAAAGGTACTCATGGGTTTTGATGGCTTCATACATTCCAGACTCTGGCCATGGTGGTGGGCGGTTGGAAGCAGCAGGAGCATCAGCGTGAAGAGGCCATGCGTCGTCTGAAGCAGGAAAAAGAGGAAGCAGAGAGAGCCGGATCCAAAGATCAGAAGGTGAGCCTGAGGTCAGCCATGTTGAGCAGGGCCTACGTTCTGCACACACTCTTCTCTTATAGTCTGCTCCATCTTTCAGGCATTAAGTCAGGTGCAGCAAGAGCTGGCTGAGGTCTTGGAGGCCCTGGAAAGAGAGAAACACACAGGAGACGATCGCCAATTAGAACTGCAGAAACAGGTAAGAGATTAACGTTTTTGTGGTGGTCTACATTTGTATTGGGGACATTTTCCCCATCGTTTCATGGCCTGGCAAGCACACAGCTCCCATACATGTGCATTAAGCTGTTCAGCTGGAGTTCAACTTTAAAGCGTAATTGAACCTGAAATGTGAAAAGACTGCTAGCAGATAGATATTTATGGAAAATAGAGACTCTGCATATCTTTTCTGCCATACAATCTTTTCAGCTAGCAGCCATGCATGCACAGCTCGGTATATGTGCTGGGTGCCAGGACAAATGAACTCCCGCGCTCACATGCAGGAGATGAGCCATCCTGGCCCAGCCAATCAAGGCTGCTGAAGACTCCTTATCTTGGAAGAAAATGGGGGGGAAAAAAAAAAAATAAAGAACCAACAATGGAGCAATGCGGGAGAGAGCAGATGACGCAGCACTGGAAGGGGTTGCTGTACAAGGTAAGTGTGTAAATGCAGTGCATTCTTGCAGATTCTCATTCACACTGATGTAAAATACGTTGTGTTCCGATGCATTCAGCATATAGTTTTGCACACATAGAAACGCAGCAAAAAAGGAGCCTATGGGCCCATACATATACAGTTCAACAGCTTAGAAAAAAAACTTAGGACACAAGTACACCTAGGTTTGTATATTCAGCTGTAAACAACATTATGGGAGGAATTTACTAAAATTGATGCACTCAGAATCTGGTGCAGCTGTGCATGGTAGCCAATCAGCTTGTTCAATTAAGCTTTGACAATAAAACCTGGAAGCTGATTGGTTTCTATGCAGAGCTGCTCCAGAGTTTGCACGCTTCAATTGTAAATCTTCTCCTATGTTTACAGTATGTACACATATACAGTTCAACAGCATAGAAAAAAAACGTAGGACACAAGTACACCCAGGTTGGTATATTAAGCTGTAAACAACATTATGGGGGGATTTACTAAAACTGGAGCACTCAGAATCTAGTGCAGCTGTGCATGGGAGCCAATCAGCTTCTAACTTCAGCTTGTTCTGTTAAGCTTTTAACATAAAATCTGGAAGCTGATTGGTTTCTATGCAGAGTTGCACCAGATTTTGCACGCTTCAATTGTAGTAAATCTCCCCCTATGTTTCCAGTATGTACACTGTTTACATGGTACAAATGAACAGAGCACAGTAACCGTATTAGCTCCCGCTGCCGCTCATGGCTCATATGAAAATATTAACAATGTGTAATGTAGGCGCCGATTGCAGACTATTGATTTAACAGTTGAATAAATCATTCATTCATTCATTCACTGGCCCTGGTGGGGGAGGAGCTAGTGGTTAATTTCTGTAGTGCTAAACACTATCAGGTCCGCACTGACAGCTCAGCCAATCACATTCATCATAAGCATAAATGTCTCCTCCACCAGCCATTAGGAGCGGACTGGACAAAGAACCGCAACACTGTGAAACTATTCTGGCTCCGCCTCTGACATATCACTACAAGTCCGCCGGTGGAAGGAGCTGTTTCTGCCTATGTAGAATTTGATTGGCTGTAACAACAAACCTGATGGGGAACTGACTGCTTGTTTAGTGGCAGGATTTGCATCCTTCGTTGCTAAGATGCAAGAAGCAGAAGATGTCTATGTCCTAGCATTTCGCCGAGCAGCGGGAGTGGCCGATAGAGGCCATTTATGCTGTTAGGCTGTACACATGTAAACATTACATCAATGTGTGCAATATGTATCCTCACTGGCCTGCCTCGCCGCTGGCTATCCCCGCTTCAGTCGATCCTGAATACGGCAGCCAGACTCATTCACCTTTCCAACCGCTCCATCTCCGCCACCCACCTCTGCCAATCCCTCCACTGGCTTCCGATTGCGCAATGGATCAAATTCAAAATCCTAACACTGACGTACAAAGCCGTCCACCATACTGCCCCGAACTACATCACTGACCTAATATCCAAGTACCACCCAACACGCACACTCCGCTCCTCACAAGACCTCCTTTTCTCTAGTGCCCTGGTCTCCTCCTCCCATGCCCGCCTCCAGGACTTCTCCAGGGTGTCACCCATCCTCTGGAACTCCCTGCCCCAACCCATCAGATTATCACCTACTCTCCTCTCCTTTAGGCGCACCCTGAAAACCCATCTCTTCAGGGAAGCCTACCCCACCCCCTGCTAACTTGCCGACCTCCTCCACTCCTCCCACCACTCCATCCCCCACAGCTATCTCCTCCTGTGCCACTATCCCCTCCCCCCTAGATTGTAAGCTCGAAAGAGCAGGGCCCTCGATCCCCTCATGTTTTGCATTGTATTGGTATTGTTCTGTCACATGTTCTGTCCCCCTTTGTAATGTACAGCGCTGAGCGAACTATTGGCGCTTTATAAATACTGTATTATAATAATAATAATGTGTACAGAGCCCTGTAATGTAGAATCTTGCTGGCAACTATTCCTGGCAAGATCCTACATAGAAAATTGCCATATGAATGAGGCCTATGAAGCTCCTGGGGATCAAAAAAGTTTAATTCTGCTTTGAATTGCATTAAAAAAAAATAAAAAATAATGTTTTGCAAGAGCACAAAGCATGATCTCATTGAAAACATTAATATATTCCCTTTAATACATACACTGAAGTGTGCATGCTGCTCACACCTGGGTGTAAGATTATCTGTGACATTTACTCCCGCGTAGGTCGATGAGCAAGCTGCCAGAGTCGCCCAGTTGAAGGCTGAATCGGAGGCTGAGAAAGAGGCCCGAACGGAGGATCAGAGGGAGCTGCACTCACTACAATACAGAATGCAGGAACAGCAGAAGACCTGGGAAGAGAGGGAGAGAGAGCTGCAGGAGGAGTGCAGAAGAATGCAGGAGGAGGGAAGTACAGAGCTGGAGAATGAGAAGGTGAGAACCAAAAAGGGCAATTCTACAAGAGGGTGAAATTCACCGCAACAATCCAAAGACAAATTTACTAATATGTGTGATTTTTTTTTTTGGTTTTTTTTTTTTGTTTTTTTTTGTTTTTTCTTACACATTACTTTGTAAACCCCCTACTGAAAAGTGTACAGCTTAACCTCCCTAGCGGTCTGATTATGTCAGTATTTCTGTGCTCAAAGCGGTACATTTTTTTGCATGGAAATATATGTAATTTTTTTATTGTAGGCCTGTAATTCTTAGGAATAACTCGCTGAAATCTGTCTGAACAAGAGTCTAGTAAACATCCCGGGGATGATAAAACTTGAAACACGAAATCCTAAATTATAATTTAATAAACAATCATAAAAAATAATAATATAATAATAATAAATATTATTTCAATAATGTAATCAAACCAAAAACACTGAAATTTGAAATAGAGCGCCAAGTTCGCACATCGCTGAGCTCAGTCGCAGAATCGTTTTCAGTGTCTGATGATGAATTTCCCCCACGAATCATTATCACTCAATTCTGCAAGTGGTTCTGATTTACTATCGCTGTTCTCTAGCCGGTCTAAAACCGCTTTTGACCTAAAGGGACGCTTTTTGGACGCCATGGACGTTTCTCAGTTTCCAGGCAGAAAGAACAGTAAAAATGCAGGCAGGGCGCCGGACAAAGCACTCGGGACAAAATGTATGTGAAATGGTTTGATACAGGAATGTTATACTATGTGATTTTAGTTTTAGAAAATGTCAGTTTTTAAAATTTTCAAATTTGCCACCGGTTCTGGCCCCCCGTAAGTCCCGTATGTCCCGACGCTCGCAGGGACCGGATGCCGGCATCGGCCGGAGGAGATGGCCAGGGACGCTGCAGGGGGGACATCGCGGGAGCGCAGGACAAGGTAAGTGAAGAAGAGATCCCGGAGCAACACTGCAGTGTATTCCTGAGTGTAGCTCGGGGTTACCACTTGTGGTGCTGAAACTTTACCCCGAGCTACACTCGGGAATACTGCCAGGGAGGTTAAGGAAGGCAGGGCTTCGAACACATTTATTATAGTGAGTTGCAAGTCTTCTAATGCATGTTTATGTGTCCACGCAAATGCTCCTTCCTTTATTTATTACAGGTATTTATATAGCGCCCACAATTTATGCAGCACTTTACATATATATTGTACATTCACATCAGTCCCTAACCCTCAAGGGGTGTACAGTCTAAGGTCCCTAACCCTCAAGGGGTGTACAATCTAAGGTCCCTAACCCTCAAGGGGCGTACAACCTAAGGTCCCTAACCCTCAAGGGGCGTACAATCTAAGATCCCTAACCCTCAAGGGGCGTACAATCTAAGATCCCTAACCCTCAAGGGGCGTACAATCTAAGGCCCCTAACTCACATTCATACATACACATACTAGGGACAATTTAGACAGGAGCCAATTAACCTACCAGCATGTCTTTGGAGTGTGGGAGGAAACCGCAGTACCCGGAGGAAACCCATGCAGGCACATGGAGAACATGCAAACTACCTTTCAGAAACTTTAAAGCTCATCTCCTAATAAGTATCAATTCCCCTTCCCCCACGCCCCTGACTAACCCATCCTATGCATTTTTTTTATTCTTCTTACCTTGATGTACTGGCCTAAGTCTGGGTCATCCAGCAGTGTTTGGGTCCATTTCTGGCTTCTTCTGCGGGGAACTGCTTATCCAAAGCTGCAAATGTGGAAAGGGGACAGTCAGGTTGTGGGAGGAAAGAGCTAGATGATGCTGGATGCCTTCCAGCCAGGAAATGAGGTGAACTTTATCTGACTTTCTGCAGATTATAATGCACATTATGAGAAGCTCAGTGTGCAGTGAAATCGGAGTAAGCCATATTAGTACAGGAGAGCAGCCCATACAACTGTGCAAGACTGTAGGGAAGGCTTGAGTTCAGCTTTAACTACAGGGTTTTTTTCTCAAAGAACTCCAGGGTTTTTTTTTCCCATGCAGGGGGGCTCCCTTCTTCTACTACCCGACACCCCCCCCCCCCCCCCCC